AGCTGTTTTTTTTTTTTTTTTTTTTTTTTTTTTTTAAGAAGGTGAGGGGAGCTTAGCGAGGAAGCTGTCTCCGCCAGCACACAAAGGCACAAGAGTCTTCCCTCTCTCTACCCCTACATTTAGCAGCAAGCTCCCACCCCAAAAAACCTGGAAGCAGTATGGTTTGCAGAAAGCCAGGCTAGAAAGGCCACTTTGGACTGCTCTAAAAATGAGGCTGTATGATGAAGGACGGAAACAACACTGCAGTGCATCAGAACTCACGCTGCACAGCTCTGCCAGGGTGTGCTCCCCCAAAAGCCCCACCATGCAGCTCTCCACAGCCATAACACTAGTGCACTGCTGCTCTATTTAAGGGCCCGCAGCTGGTGAGCATATGATCCTGAATTCCAGATACTGCTCTCCCTTCTCACAGCAATCAGGACAAAGGAAAACAAACCGACAGAATGCATATGTTCAATAATGCATCCATCCAAAAAACACATGAAACTGTTGCAAAAGATGTGCAGTTTCTCATTTCTCAAGCATGTAGGTAAGGCTAGAGAAAGGGCCACAGTTTCATCACCTGGAGGTAACACAATACCAATCTGCCCATTCTAACTTGTGTTGTATTCAGAATGAGCGAAGAGAAATATTCTTCCCACTCGCTTCATCCCTCAAGTCTTTACAATGATGTCATGCCTGGATGATGTCAGATTAATTTTCATACACAGCCTGTGGAAAATACGCAGGTTGGTATAGTATAGCATGCAGCTTTATTTGCTGGCATGCACATGTGTGTTTGCATGCACATGTGTGTGTACAAAATGCAGTGGATGGATAGAAATGAGGCTTCCAACAGTGCCTCTGTGCAAGTAACTTCTGTACACTACAAAATTGTGCCCATAAAACCCTGTATGAGCTTCAGTTCATCTGTTAAAAATCAAGCCAATAAATAAATCTGCAATTCAGCAATGGCTGATAGAACTAAAATAACGCTGTCAGAACTGAATCCACAAAACTTGCTTGAATGTCTGCATGCAGCCTTACACTCCAAAGAATGCATTTGATACTCAGTATACATAGGCCAACCACCTTCTAGGTGGACACTGTGGCTTGAGATCCAAAATAGCACAATGCCAAAAGACAGGAACTCCTTGAGAAAAACTGGAAAATACTCCCAAGCAGCCAAACGACAAACAACAGTATCTTTGGTTAAAATCAGAACCTTTGGTGAAACTACTCTAGCTCAGTCCAGCAATGAAGTGTTACATAGATAACATTAAGATATCTGTCGGGATATTTCTAAATAACTTATTTGCACACTTCAGCCAAGATAATCTTGTCTGTCAGCTACTTATTTGAAATCTGAGGTGATTCTGACGAGAGATATAGTCCTACATTTGGCTGAGTTGAGATATTTTGTGACACTGCATAATGCTGAAAATAATTCCCTTCTCATATAGGAGACCAGATCTTTCCCCCCATGAATCCACAGGTATAGCCAGACTTACATGGAATAACATCCACCGTTTTCAGTCGGTGTTACAACTGGAGCCCTTCTCTTTTGTTTCCCTCTTTTTAAGGTGCAATCAGTCAAACCTTGTTGGCAATATATAGTTAGCTTCTGCCCACTAAAATAATTATGACTTCCAACTACACTGCAGACCTATTTCTATTTTCAAAAAAATGAATTGGCAACATTATTGTGCTGCTGTGAGAAATGAATTGAGATGCTTGCTATTATTTTTATTCAGTTCACCAGTAACAACCTCTTTGATGCTCTTTCATTGCATTTCATTTCTTTTCATTTCAGTTGCTCCCTTTTACAGTCTTTAACCACTTGTCACTAGTGGCTCACCAAGCATTTATTCTCAGTAATGCGTTCAGTGATTTGACATTCAGAATCTCATTTGAAATGCCAAAGCTAAAGATGGGTCAACAATTCCATTTTAAGTCCATATTCTACAGGATTTCAAACAGCAGGGAGAATTACTCATTTGTCACATGTCTCAGCAGAGGAGAGTTTTCATCATCCCACTACCTCTTTACTCAGTTGGTTTCAAAGGGAAAAGGTAGCGATACATATCCACCACTAAAAGCCTGCAGCACTACAACAGCTATGGCAAAAGATTGGTCTTGCAGATTCAGAGTATGTTTGAACCACATAATGTAAAAATGTTTTCATTTCAGTGCAGTGGTCCCCAAATGGTGGTTCACACAGCACTCACTAGTGATGTGGGCTTGTTCTACTCCCCAGCTTTATAGACTGCCAAGTTCTTTAAGACAAATAAAAAACATGAAGCCTGCAGAAACAGCTAGAAATCCGCAGTCTGCTTTCCTATCTCTGCTTGGATTGCTATTGTAATGGAAAAGGAAAGGAAATGGAAACCATCAACATCAAAGAATCGCAGAGGGCTGGAGGTTTGCGGCAATGGGATGTCTGTCTAGAGCAGCAGGGAGCCAAGTGGCAAGGCAGCACGCATGAATGGGTTGAGAGAGCTGGCAACATAAGCAGGATAACTCCAAAAAGCAGGAGTAGGGTCCTGGAGAGAAACAAAAAAGGACCCAGAACGATAGGGAAAGTAGAGTTAAAGATAAAATCTTCAATTTTTTAAATCTGAGATTGAACATTTACTGATATAAATATAGAAAAGCGTGTGCCTTTTGAACCAACACAGATTTTCTATCTATGGGCTGGCTCAGTGTCATGTGCCTGTAAGCTGAAGAGGGGATGCCTCTATTTTGAGACAGGGTCCCCGGGAAGGGGAAATCTGCAAATGCCTATACCACGTATCACTTGAACACAACAGAAGGAAAAAAGAGAAGATTTCTATGTCATAGGGAAGCTAAAGTTTCAGAAATATTTTCACTGATATGTACATTCAGACAAAGACAAATTGTTTTGTGCAGGGGTGAGGGGAGAGGTATGACAATGTATAATCAGATCAGGCTGCCCATATGACAAGTTCCTGACTTGCTGTGTGCCCTTTGGGTGAGGGAGAGAAGCTTTTCTCTCTCATGTTCCGCATACATCAAAGCAGATAACAATAGTTAGCTTATTCAGTCTTGCTCCATGCCAGAAAAAATTATCCTACAATGACAATGGCTCAAATTAAAACATTTCTCTTGCAAACAGATAAGGATTTACACATTTGCATTTTTACATTTCATGACACAGTTTATACTGATGGAAATTGAAATACTGTGCCATTTTAATACTCTGTTCCACACTAAATACTAAATAAAGTTTCACACTCAGCTGAAACTTTACTCAGCTAACCTGCTAGGTGCACACATACACATATTGTCAGCTCACCATGTGTCAGTTTGCGGTAACCAACGAGCATGAGGGATGATTTTCCTCCACAAACACACCCCCCTCCCTCTCTCATCTTCCCCCCTCAAAAAAACAAAGCAAGGACTATAAAGACCATATTCCTACCAAACACTTTCAGTGAAAGGCTAGAAATAAACACTAAAACAGGAACACTAGCCCCCACCGCCCCCCGCCAATTTCCCCCCTTGTCAATACTGGAAACTGTCCCTTAAGCTGTGCCCAAGTACCAGATATCTCACAAGTAGTTATGAACAACCCAAATTGACCCCTTCAAATAACAGGATGGAAAACAAGCTCAGTCTAGGCTGAGCGTGGCCGCTCGCAACAGGTTCACGTGCAGGTGCAGAGCACGCGGACTGAGACGAGTCAAGTATTCGAAACAGCTTTGTGTAAGCTCTTTCCAAGACCAATAAATACTTTTGCTACAACGAATGATCAATTTGTTACTAGCGCACATGCTGCCACATTAATTTGTGAAAAAAAGATACAGCTTTCTTGGGCTGAAAGTGCACCATAAACTTCTCGGAATGAAACATGAAAATTTGCCTTACATTTGGACCCTGTTCCCTCAGGTTACCTTTTTGCTCACTTTTTAGCTATTCCATGCTAATCACAAGGCAGGAAATAAGATCCCTTGGAGGAGTGATCAACAAGAAGAGGAAATGATATAGTACTAAAATAAACTTCTAAAAGTGTCAAAAAATGACAGCATTTGAATAAAGAACTGGCTCAAAACCTGAATTAAAATGAAGTTTTAGAGCGAAGCTGAGAAACCAAAATAACTTTTTAAAAGAAAAAAGTTCATCTATATTTATCCAGGATGCTTGCCAAATTTGTATCCATGCACAAGCACACATATTCACTGCACAGAGTACAATTACGCTGCCGGCAGGCAACGACTCAAAACGAAGCTGGTAGCAGATGTATTTGAACGGGAACACTTCTGCAATAATAGCTCATTTAAGTTTAATTATTTTATGGTTCTTCAGAAAAACTGCAATATTCCAGCCTTTCCTGGAAGAATCCACTCTGCCTGTCACGATGTTCATTTGCTGCTCTGTGTGCCAAAAAATAGCATGGGAAGGAAGAATCTGGAGGGGTGCAAAGGGGAATGAGAGGGGAGAGGATATAGTTTAAAACAAAATGGCTAGATTTGCAATATTTAGAAAAAGAATTCTTGAGCCCTCCAAAACACCAATGGAAGTGTACTTCCAATCTCTGGTTCTCCGTACGTCTCTTGTTGTCTGCATACAATAGATATAAATAAGAAGTACATAACTTGAGTTCCAACAAAACAGCAAGAAAGTCAATGAAGTAAAACAAATGTAATGGTTTTGCCCTTTATGAGGAAGTTCAAAGTTCAGAGTCACCCATTTGCAACAAATTTATACAAAACCCTTCTTAGCTGGAGCTGCTCAAAGCCTAAAGACAATTAGACCTCTGAGGGATGGTGACTTACAAATCAAAGCAAAGAAGCCAGTGGACTGGAGGTAGTTCAGCAAATATAATACAACACAACTTTTGGTCTGAAATCAAGCAGTTGGGGATCAGAGGAGTTGCAGTTACCTTGTGTGGCTGTTGGATGACAGGCTTTCCCAGGGCTGCACGCTACAGCCAGTGACTGCATAGGCTCCCCCGCAGCTCCCATCTAGTTTCATCAGCAAGGCTTTTGCTGCATTCTCAGCTGTCTTCCTGCAGTCATGAGCTCTCTTAAGCATCTGGGTGATGTTTTCATCACCTGTCTGGTCCCCTAGTTTTCAAGGAAACAATCTGTTTCAGAGCTTTGAGGGGAGTAATAGAAAATATGGCAAGAGTAGAGACGCTTCTATGCACTCTCAGCTTATACCAAGACAATGACATTAAATTACCAATCTGATGTAAAACCAACTTCACTTGTTTGAGTATCAGCGGTACCTGGGCTACTGTCCTGAATGAACCTTCCTTCCCCAGGCACAAGCTCCAGGTACTTGTTGCTCCGGGTACGTCTTAAGTGATGTTTTATCTTTACTCACTTACCTGTTTGTAAGGGTGTACACTGTGCATCAGGAGTAGGTTAGGATGCTCAAATCAGTAATGCACTGGAAAAGCCCCAGCCTAAATTACAACTCTTACTCCAGTCATTCCCGTGCTATATCACAGTGCGGTCATTTCCAGTGGTTTTTTTCTCACAAGGACCATATGGCCTAATGGTTTGCTAGAACACTTTATTTTCCAGCTGGAAGCATTGCCTTACTGCTTAGAAGCAGCCTTTCAGAGTTTACAGCCATGCATACTAACTCAAAAGAAAACTAGCCCTGTTGTTTATTAATTTGCTATAATTTCTACTGGTTATGCAGCATTTATGGAGCTGGTAAGCCATCCCTTCGGTAGAAGCAGGAAAGAAACCACCATTATCACTATTCTCATAGTCCTAACTCCAGCTGGAATCAAGTCATTAAAGACACATTAGTGGCTACACTGAAAGTCTGAACAAAACTACAGTTTATTCATACTTTACCAAATGCCATGCAAAGATGTCAGAGGGTTTAAAAAACCCCGAGCTTTCTTTATGTCAGATTTTCATTTCATCTTTATTTGAGTCAAAGACCAATTACCCATACTTCACACTTGCTAAATGAAGTGTGTGCACTAGAAATAACATTAATGCAGGAGAAAGGATGGAGAATGTTCTGTTAAGAGCAGCTGGATATGCTTAGCTCTAAGTGATGCAGAAGCAAGTCCCATGAATTTCCCACTCACAGATGTTGATATAAAACTTGACTGACCTTCAAACCAAAAATCTGCTATTTTATCTAGGTGTTTTAATCAAATTTCATGGTGAAGTGAAGGTACATAAACCAAACACAACTTCCTCTAAACTGTGCTATGTAATGGGAAATTGGCACTATTTCTATCACAGGGCTGTAACTGATACCATAATTATGAGCTGTAGACAGACACCTATATAAAATCTAAACTACACTCTTTCATAAATGCATGTGAGATGAAACTCTACTCAAACTCAAAGTATTTCTCCCTTCTAAGATTTCTTTTTGCCACCTATACGAATAGAAAATCTAAGACTAAATTCACTTTTGCTGGCCACTGATTCCTGCCGGCAGGGAAAGCTCCCTAGCACATGGAACAAGTGGGGCCAGCTTCAACATCAACCTCCAAACACTTCTGAATAGTGGTTCCAATTTTCAGCCACTGTGAGAGTGGTTCATTCCACTACTTAGCGAGGAGCATATTAAGAAACAATACCTAGCCACATGATTAACTACCCACAAAATAAGAAAAACCTAGAATGTATCGGCTAATATTCCTGACAACACAGTAAAACATAAGATAGGATGTTTTAAAATTTCAGAGCAAAGGTAAAATGTGGGGTGAAAAACTAGAGCCTTTTTTTTATTGTTTTTTGGTAACTACTCAATGCTACCTTTGTACTGTCTTAATCCTAGTTTTTCATAAACTATACTCAGCTTCTAGGGAGGTAAATGTTGCTGGTTTAAACAAAATCTGTACTTGCAGTTACCACAGCTGTATGGCCCTAAGCCACATATGCTCATAAGTATTGTTTAATAATTCCACTCTGTACAGTTGCATGCCTGCAGCAGCCTTACCACTGCCAGAACAGGCATCCCCTTGTGATACTGTACACAGGTTAATTTAAATTTCTGGTGAATTTCATTATTTAATCCCAGTCTCTCTTTTTCTTTTCCCTTGTTTTTTGGGTGTGTAAAATAATTAATTAAAAACAAGAAAAGACAAGAGAGCATTCTTAGGTGATGGGTCATGAGATGATTCACCATTACAACTAACTCTAATGCTAACTGACATGCAAAAAAAATATTTAAATAAAGTGATTCATTGACATCTTACCAACAGAACCAACACCTGCAGCTCTAAACTGCCCAAGAATGAGACTCTGCTCACTTTCTGCCAATGCCAACAGTAGCTCATATGCTTCTATGCATTGTTCACTGAAAGAAAAAACAAAAAACAGAAAACAAAAGTCACACAAAATATATCTGCAAATTAGAGGGGAAGAATACCTGCAACAGCAACAAAAAAAGAGATAGCTGATGAACTGCATGAACATGTAGTTACCAACTACATGTCTAGCAGCAGGGGTATTAAACAACATAACACACAGAGCTTCTATAATAAGCATTCAACAATCTCTCCTTCCTTTTATCTTCCTTCCCAGGTCTCAACCAATGCAACAAGTTAAAACAGAAAAGAATGACCTGATGTGAAGCAAGCTCCAGAAGCACATTAGAAAAAATATGAATGGTGGTCGACATAATGTCTTTGAGAAACTCTTTTCAGACCTTCTTATTATACAAAATACAGTATTCTAAATCCTACTACATTACTACGCTATACGAGGTATAGTAAGAAGAAAATAAAAATACTTGTTGCTCTGTCCTGGCTGTAAGATTCTCCTCCTTACGACACAACAGCTTCTAAATACAATGCCTGCATGGTCCCAGTTGCTGGCTGGGGATAAACCATGACAACAGAATACATTCTTTAGAAGGCACACAATTTGTCTGAAGCCCAGAACTGCCTGTTCCTAATTAGTTGCAGCTGAAGGAGTTAAACGACACCGTCTTTTTACATATAGATTAAAGCAAATTTAGATACTTGTAACCAAATACCAAGCAATTCATCCACAATTCCAACTGATGTAATATAAAGTCACTCTGAATTATGTGGAGAACTACACTACTCTTAGTCCATTGGTCTTGTGAAAGGTGCCATCCTAATACAGAAAACCCGTATCTTAAGAACAGACACGGCAGAGAGAGTATGAGCCTATACACAACTCCTAATTCAAAAGTTAATTCAGTATTTAAAAATGAAAAGCTAAATCTTCATGTTCCTTCATTAGATCGACTTCACTACTTTTGGTGAACTAGAGTTGAAATGCACTTGCATCAATAACTTCGGTTCTGTAGTTTGTCAAGTAGTTTAACTGTAGGGGCATTTTTTCAGGGAGGAAACAAAAAGAAACAGTATTACTATGGCAGACCAGCCATTTCACTCTCAAAGACTTCTAAGTAAGTCTCCCCTGCTCCCTCTTTTTCTGGCTGAGACACCCTCTGCGTAGGTCCATACCTGTACTGCAGTGCAAGCCTGAGGGCTGTGGCGTTGGACTCGTACTTCCCGACAAGCATGCTCATCCTCTCGGCATTGCTCTTGCACTCTTCCAGTGTTATTGTCAGCAAGTCATTCTGTGATTTCAGGTGCTCAATGCGGCTGTAGAAAAGGAAGTAATTTGCAACCTTCAAGCTTAGCTTGCAGACACTGTCCTGAAAACTCCAGAACACTCTTAATTTAAAACACCAAATACCATTTCGTCTGCACAAGGTTTTTAATGAAGATGGCAAAATCTGTTAGTACTGTGTCCCATATCCACAGCCATGAGGATAGTAATTTCTCTTAGGACATCCGAAATACAATGAGGCAGTGAAATCTCCAAAACTTCTGGCAATAGTCAAACAGAAGCTCATATCAGAACTTAATTGTAATATTCTTCTCAATAAGGTTAATTGTGATTCTGAAAATGAAGCTTCAGAATATTAGTATCATTGCTTATAACCACACTATACATCAGCATGCTATGCCTAGTCGGAAGAGTTTGACGTACACTGAAAAGAGACAGGCAAGTAATTTAAAATTTTGGACAGGTAGCTAATGAAGAAATCAGTGCCATCCAGAACTCTAAAATCACTGACTTCTTAATACACACAAGAAGAATGGCTAGTAAGCCATTTATTCAGGTATCAGAATAAAGCCCTGTCTTTCCCAGCTGCTAGAACTCTTAGATGTGGCACCTCCTGTATTCTTCTTTGACACGTCCTATAAGGATACATGTTGTCAAAGCGTAATTGTGCAGTGCACAGAAAAAAAAAAAAAAAAAAAAAAAAAAAAAAAAAAAAGAAAAAAGGATCACATTTTGCAGTGTTACAAAAACACGAGCTACAAATAAAAGAGAGACTGCACCGATCAGACTAAATTTGAGATAGCCGTGGGGAAGAGAGAACTTGGAAGGAAACATGCCAAGACACGATTCTTGGCCCACAGTTTTGATTTTATGTGCTAGAGAGGACATGAAGCATTGGTTTTGATAGAGATTATTGAAAGATAACACCAGGAGTATTTTACCTGCATCCAGAAAGCTGCCATCTTTCTTCTGCAGGAAGAAGTCTATTTACTGGTAGGTATGTCACACCACTGTATGGAAGCACGTTCATTGACACAGTCAATGCTATAATTCTGTTTCCTCACGACAAAACAAAACAAGCTAATTCCAGAATGATGGGGAATAAGTTACGAGAATCCCTATTTCCAGCAGTGATGTGTCTTATGAAAAAAGACGCCATGCCTGCTTGGGCAGCCGTAGAGGAGGACACTCTACAGCACAAACTGTCACAGGAGAAGGTGCCATGCTGACCTATTAATGCATGACCAAACTGCCATACTAATGAATCCTTAGCATATGAGTCGATCTTCTCTTTATCACCTACATTCCATGTTCATCTGCAGCTGCCACAGTTGAGCTGGGAGTGAACTAAGAAATGCTCAAAAAGGGTAAAAATGTACTAACTTTATCAAAGCTAATAGCAGACAACCCATCCGAGCATACCTCACTTTTCACCTTACCTATTTAATCTCTCTGTCTCCACTTCAAACTCTCGGATTTTACTTTCAGAGATAGCAGATCCATGTGAATAAAGAGTCTGGAAGATTTCCTGGATGTTTGAGCAGTCTTGGAGGGAATGTGCCAAATGTTCAGCCACAGTACTAGACACCTGCACGGGGCAGTTAATAGATCATTGTGAATAGATGACCAGTGGGATTCCTCTCACAGGCAGTCTGCATTGAGAGCTCCATTTGCTTGCACACACTCACTTCAAGGCATTCATTATTCAGTTTTTACTATGAATTTTACATTGAATAGAACATTTACAAGTTTCCACTTTTCGAAACTATTTTGATTTGAAATTCTACTAACCAAAGGGTGAAGCCCACTATTTCATCACACATTTAAAAACCCTAAAATGCAAGTTATTTACTTTGTTGAAAGCTTAGCAAAAGGTCAAGAGTTAAGTTCTTCACTGAAACAAATATTAACACACAGTAACAACAGTGTTATGGGTTTACATTGGCATTACAAAACAGAACCCAGTTCTCTGTTAATTGGAAGTTGTGAAATTCAACTGAACAGTCTTGAAAAATAGCATTTTTGGAGGAATTCACCCCAAAACTATCCTCTTGAAGTCCAGAAAATGGTGTCTAGCCACCAGCTATAAGAAAAATGAGATCTTAATATTGGGTGAAATATTCTCTGTTGAAATTTTTTTCTCAAAATAACTTTTAAAGTGTTTTCAGTTAGCTGATATATTAACTTAGTAAAAAAAAATGCTGCTCTTAATGGAACATCTTCAGAAGGTATCACGCATGCACATAATTATCAGTCCTTACCCCTATGCTGCTGATTTCTGATCCTAAGACAGGTCTATCAGATGATGAAGACTCTGATCTTGTCTTTGACAACTTCACTCTTTCAGCAATCTGTAAGTCAGAAAGCTGCACGGGTTACACAGGAATCCAAACTCCATAAAGATTACACAAAATGCATTTTGTTCATTAGCTACGCTTGCAAACCTGTATTGAACTATGGCAGAACCTGACACCCGTGTTGTAGCCGAGAGAATTACAACCATTGCTGCTTAATTCCTTGCTGCAGCTCAAGTTCATGGGCCTGCCTAAGACCCCAGAAAACCCTCTGGGGATTCTAGGTATCTCCCAGTTAATCACAAGATCTGCAGAGCAGCTGTGCAAAATGAAGGCTGCTGCTCCCAGGTAATGAGGAGCGTTCCTGCGACACACGATAGCTCACCTTGGCTATGGGGATGTCATTGCTGCTGCTGCTTGTGCTCAGCTCTCCCGTGCTGGGGTTAACGGGTCGGTTGGCAGAAGTGAGACGACTTGGGCTGGATGGGCCTGTTGCCTGCACGCTTTGCAAACGTGTTTGCAGTTCCCGAACCTACAACAAAACATAAGGTTCTGGTTTTTTCCACTTTTATGGTTTAAATACTTCGGAGATTTTCTCATTGTCTGGCCAAGCCAAATTGCTTCTGGCTCGAGCATAAAAGTTGTATTTTGTCCTGTGGTGGCCATGAAGTTTTCATGTGGGGAGCAGATGAATGGAGGTTGTTTTAAAATTCTATTGTCAATTTTTAAAACTGTTTGAAATGTGGAAATATGCAAATGTAATACTGTAGAATATTTACTCAAAGCTTTAGCTTGTTTTATATAACCCTTTCAGTGCAGCTGTACTACATGTACAGAAATTACTCTCTGGGGTGAAGCTAATGCTCCAGCCCAAGATTATGATGCCTAAACAAATCAAACGAAGATCCTGCTGTTAATGGAAAGTGCCAGTGTTGAAAAAACCCTTGACATAAACATATCACAGGATGACTTTGTCATATTTAAAGGTCAAAGAAATTCAAACATTAATCATTCTTTCATACGTAAAGTTAAGTAAAGCTACCATATAGTGAGTAATGTACAGACAAGAAAACACCAGCAAGGTTCCCAGCCAACAGCCTGCAGAAGCTCTCTATAAACATACACTGCAAACACTGCATGGTCCTCAGAACAAATCAGATACTAGCAGAACTGACGTCAAAAGATTTTCAGGACTAAAAGGTAAAAAAAAAAAATCTTCACGAGCCAAACTATAGCTGAGCTAAAGATTATAGTGTTTACCTTGGAATAATTCTTAACAGACAAAGAAAAATGACCTGCTTAACACAACAATTATGCCACAAGGCACAGTGACAGAGCTCATTTTTCCCACAGAATCTCAAACAAAGACTATGAGATGAGAGAAGGGGGAGGAAACCATCTGAAGAGGAAATTTCCCTGGATATAGAGTGTTTACTTTTATATGCAAGTTTCTGTGCCAATTTTGTTGGAACAGTCATCTGCAAACCAGGACTTGTGAAATTTTACCCAAAGTCCAGTGAAATAAAAGTTTAGTCCATTTGATATCCCCTGTAGCATGAAATGCAACTCCAATTATCTAAAACCAGGTGGGATTTTATAGTAACTACAATAGATTTACATGAAGAACCAATTAAACAAGCTGAAACCCCTTAGTCAAAAAGCATGAAAATTAAAGTTGTGTTAAACCTTAGGCTTTCTTCTGACCAAGTGCATGGTCAGAGCTTTAACAATCTCTGCTTGAAGAAGTGGCAGTCAGCAAGTTCTCTTCACAACATACACAGAACAGTATCTTATGTCTCCTGTGATTCCCTACTTCCTTCTGCTTCCACTTCCCTTAAGGGTACCCGTGCCTTTCCCTCAGTTGCATGCAAACTGAAGGTCAGGTTGTCTGCAGACCTACTGTCAAAAACCCCAGAATTTTCAGGTATGTGGAAATTACAAAAAAGAAAAAAAAAAACATAACAGAGCAGAACAATTGCATGTTACTAACAGAAAGCTGTAAGCGGCAACAATAAGAGCACATAAAGGCTAACTATGCTCCTAACTTCCCTGTTCAGTCATGGAGGAATGCTACACCTTAAACAAAATTAATCCAAACAACTCCGTTGCTCTCTCTGTTAAAAAAAGGACAAAGTACACAAAACCTCAAATCACATCCCCAGTGTTTAAACTAACTTGCTGAAAAATGGATATGGGTGCTTGCCCCAGAATTATACATCTTAATTGTAATTGCATCATGAAGTTAACTGAGCAGAGTGTATAAAGTGCACATTCATAGCGTGTATCTTCTACATATTTGCAGCTGAGGCCTCATTTGTTCATATAGACATATATAATTTCAACATGGGTACAGCTGCACTAATGCAAACCTTAAGGACAGAAGTGCTCTACTGATGCAAACCAATCATTTCAGCCTGCTGATATGCATAAAACTGAAATAAACCATGTATGCCGGTTTCTGCTTGCAGATGTGGAATGCCAGTTCAGATCAGATTTTGAACTGTGGCATTAACACTGAAGAAAAAAAAAGCAAAAAAAAAAAAAAAAAAAAACCCCAAAACTCTATAAAATAAAAATCACATTTTT